CAGGTACAAGTGGACCCAATGTACAGACACACCAGTAGTCGAACATAAAGGAGTTTATTAAACGCAAACAAAGAACAGGTTACTGGGTGGAGGAGAGAGGAGGCAGAAACGCAACAAGTACTGGATGGGACGGAGGTTGAGCAGGCTCTGGACATAACTGGCTGGCAGCGTAGTACTTGGGACGAAGCAGACAAGAGGCGTGGAGCCGGAGGAGAAGCAGGCAAGTGGCATGGCGTTGGGGATGAAGGCGGGCAAGTAGCGTGGTGCTGGGAGTGCTGAACTGAAGAGTCAGTCGGGGAACGATGAACTGGAGCTGGGGAGTGGAGAAGACAGGGCCGGGAAACAAAGCTGGAGAGTGCAGAGTCGGGAGATGGAAAACTGGAGCTTCGGGTAGCAGGTGAGCATAAACGTGTGATGAACCAGTGGGGAATGAACGGGAAGAGGGTGTATATATAGTGAAGTGAACCGGGAGATAAGCCGCAGGTGAAACTGATCAGAGCTAATGAGACTGACATGGCAGAGTGGTAAGGAGAGACGGGCAATAAACAGAACAAAACAAAAACAGGAAGCAGTCACAAACCATAACACCACCAGTGTCTATACAGTAAGCTAACAGTCCCAAAAACCTTTAGGATGGCTATAACAAATTGTGCATTCTCACTTAATAAACTTGTACACCTTTACTTCAGTCTTCCCAAGACTAACCAGAGGTGGGTGTATTTTCTTCCAGAAAATCTGAACCATCAGTATTTATATAGTCAGCTCAACAGTACAATGAAGGCAGTTGGTCATTGAGCAATGGATGAAAAATAAAAGTAAAAATAGAAGCAGTACAGAAATAAAGTGCATTAATTGGGAGGAATTAAGAAACATTAATTAAAAACAAATGAACAGTCTTTAGCTTAGTTTTAAAGTGGAAGTTCTAATGGAAACTGGTTCCTATGGGGGTAAAATCCTCTCATAACTAGCCACAAATGCATATTCAAAGATTTACAAGTCAAGAGTACAAATGGGTAAAAACAGATTTGGATAGCTATGACAAACTGGATCTCATGATGACCACAAATGTGTTCAGTAACCTCCAAAAAAATCGAGATTTACAAATCTGTAAAAACAACTTGTGTGTCTCATTATTGACCACAAATGTGTGTTCAGTAATCTACAAATAAAATCAAGGTTTACAAACATGTAAAAACTATTTTCTCTGTTCAGTTCTTTGAAATGTATTTATAGCTCACTTGGCACACATGGATCACGTTATGTATACGTTACTATTTCATTTTAATGTGTGATGCCTTAAAAAACAGAATTTGGAGTTGTTTATTTCACCTAGTGTTAACATGATATAACTTCAAAAGGTTATGCGCAATAGCCTACAGTATATGATGCAGGAGAAGTGATTCTTTACTGTAATTTAGCTGGGGTTAGTTGCCCTAATGTGGAACATTTTTTGCATTTCCGGATTCTGGAATTTATTGAGATGTGACATCAGTGTCATGGTTTGTGAACTATGTTTCCTGATTTTGTGCTGTTTTCCCCCTCTCTCCCTGCTGTTCTGCCATGTCATGCCAATTAGCTCTGATCACCTCCACCTGCAGCTTATTATTCCTGGACTCATTCCCACATAAATACTCCTCCTTTCCCTCAGCCTGACACTGGATCATTGCTTATGTCATGGCGCTTTTCACAATGCGTTGGTCAGTTTGTAATGGTTGTTACATGAACCTGTCCTGGCTACTCCAACCCGTGAAACATCCTGCTTCTTCTGAAACTCAGCATGGGTATGACTCCCCAGCTTTCCCTCCTGTCGCTGAACCAGCTTATCTGTCATCATGGTCCTCCTGATTCCCGGGGTGGGTGCAGCTCCCGCGGTCGGTACGAGCACAACTCTCCTGCCTTTTCCTAGTGTCGAACATGAGTGCTATGCTGCATCCACTCCCAACGCTCAATGTGAATGTCACTCTCCAACCTGTCTTGATGCTTGACGTGGGGTGCACATCTGCCTCCACCTCTCATCCCCAGCAGCCAGCTCCGCCACCCACTCCCTGTTCTACAGCACCACTCGGCTCTCAACTCATCAACACCAGTCTTCTGGGTTCCCAGCCTGACCACCCCACTAGTCCTGTGTCTGTTTTGTACAATAAACTCAGTTTCCTCTCCACTCTCTGACTGTGCCTGCCTATGGGGTCCCATCCTGTCCCGGCCTCTAACAGTCAATATATTAAACCCACACCCATTACTTCATGTACTTCATGGTGGTTCTTTCAGATTTATATTTAGAGATGCTGACTATGTATCCCCTGTTTTCTAGGTATTATCTGAGCCACCTGAGGATGGTTCCCAATAGTCTGACCCAGTTTTCCATTCTATCGCAAAGTAATTCATGATCCACAGTGTCAAATGCTGCAATAGAATCTAATAACATCAAGACTGTTATGTTCCTGCTCCTGTTTTCAGGAGGCATCTTATAACTGCAGTTTTTAATGATGCACACAGGCATACATATACAGTACATGCCATGGAAGCGGTGTCACACAAATACATCCAGATGTGTTGCTGTTTGGTCTTGTATTTAGGGATTGGGACAGAAAGGTGAAGAACAGGTCTTAACAGTTCCAACACACCCAAACACACATGAACATACTCGCAGCTCGGCTCAGCAGTGTGTCTGGCTAGTGAGTGACATTTCAAATTTCTTTGTCTCATCCTGTAATGACTGAATCTGTCCCCACTCACTGTGATGTTGTATGTGTATGTCTGGGCTTTTGTGTGTTTGCTCCTTCAGTCACCCCAGGGGGCTTTGCTCTGTCACTTCCTGTTTGTTGAGTGCGCTCCACAGTGCCTCTGTCCTCTGTACACCATGTGTGTATGTGAGAGAGGCAGTGCATGTGCCTGTGTGTGGGTGTGTTACCGGCCCATTGAGCAGTCTTTGAGTGATGGGAGCTGGCCTTGTAATGGAACTTGATTCACTCTGTAAATAAAGAACCCTTTGAATCACTGGTCCGAATATGGCAGGACACACATACATGCCCACATGTACACCCACTGTCTGTGGTCCACTCGCTGGTGGGTGGTGGTGGTGGTGAGGTGTTCATGCTCGAATGCAACGCCCCACCCCGGGAGCTGTAGTCTAGATAATTGAAGAGAAATCCAAGAACACTGAGCTGGTCCTCTGTGCTGTGTCCGTGTAACTTGCCGGCACAGGACCGGCATCTTGCTGATTTCCACATCAGCACCAGCACACCCATCTACTGTATATATCTCAATTATCAAAGTTTCCTTTTGTGTCCATAACAGTGGCAGATGCTGACACTCTGGGCATGGGTTTATTATGGCAAATAATATGTGAACAACCCTTCTCCTTAGCTATTTCCCAGTTCACTGTTTCTTAAATGTAAACCATCCAGTCTAAAAGTGTTTATTAGGGATAAAATTACCTTGAGCCCTATTTTGATTTTTGCCTCAGAATACAATTTACTCTCTTGGAATTGCAGGTATCTTATTTAAGAGTAAAAGAAAAGTTTGTGAATTCAATAAAAGCAATAGAAAAAGACAGAGCACTGTAATAGAAAACTTGCTTTTAACATTGCTGTTACATTGTTGGACAGCCAGTACTGTTGTTGCCACATGTGATAGGCAGTCAGGCAGAGATTATTTCACAATCTATCTGAGTTTCTTCCAAAATACATTTATGTGTAAGTGTATGTGCTGCCAGTTTAAATGTCTATTTTTTCCCTTGTTTATATAATGAGAGATAAATGTCTTTATTTAAGATAGCAGAGGAGAACAGGAGTTAATGTGGCTGTCAAGAGAGATAGAGAAAGGTACGAACAGAAAGAGAGAGGGAGAACTAGCAGCGACAGCATCTCTTCCTTGTCCATTTGCATAAACCAGCCTTTGTTTGACGCCTGTGGCCAGCAGCCAAGCGCCAACAGAAGGACAGAAGTTAAACTAAAAAAAGGATGGTTTTGTTCCAGGAAAAACTTCAACTAGAAATAAATAATAACAATTATAACTATTCAGAAATATAAAGCAATACATCAGTTACTTCTCACAAAAAAGAAACGTTCTGCTGCTCTTCAGAGGGAATAACAATTCTCAGGAAATCAAAACAGTGTCTTGGAGATTTATATTAGCCGACATAAAAGTGATTGAGCTTTGCAGGATGATTCAGTGGACGAAGACACAGAAAGAAGTATTTATGAACGCTGAGACGCTTTCCAAGTTGTGAATATTATGCTGTATCTGTTCCTGTAGAAATACTGGCCAGAGACTGTTTTGTGTGATACAGTGGTATTGCATAAATATTCCTGAGTATGTTCACACCATAGCAGCTCACGCCATAATGATTTTATTTAATTGGAAATCAATTAAATACATAAATAAAGAATATGGAAAACCATTTTTTGTTTGTTTGTTTCCAAAAACAGATATTGAATCACTTCTTTTTTTAGACTAGTGTGCTTTATAGTCAGCACACGAGAAACTTTGCATGCCCCATTTGGCATACAGCTTTATTAATTTTCTTACTTGTCTCTGTCACTCTCTCTTTCTTTCTACAACATCACTTTTTTCCACCTTGAGTGAGAGCTGGGCTTGCTGGCATGACCTCAATAGCTGGAATGTCTCTTTCTCCCATGTTGTACCTGGAGGGGACATAGCCTTCTCTGGGCCTGTCAGAGAGGCTGTTAGCGCTTCTCCAATGGGGTGAGAGAGGAGTTTGACAGTGGAGCTGTCCCTCTCTCTGTCACATAAACAGAGGCCAGGCCGCTAATGGCCTCTTCTTCCAGAGCTTTTAATCAGGTGTCTTCTTTTTTCTTTGTGTGCTCTTGAGTATTAATTTATTTATATTGGCCCTTTATTCTCCTCCCCCTTTTCTTTTTCCCCTCTATCTTCTTCTTTTCTTACTCTCTCTGTTCCCCACCCCAATCTACTCTTTCTTGTCTTTCTATCTTCCTACATCTCGTTGTCTCTCTCTACCTGTCTCTCTGACTTTGCAGCAGTTGTACGCAGCTCAGCTGGCAGCAATGCAAGTTTCCCCAGGGGCCAAGCAGCATGGAGGCAGCCTGCCGCCCCAAACCAACCTGGGCACACACTCCCCACCTAGCAACACACACATACAGACTGACAAGTGCCGCAGCTCCCCACCACCAAGCAAGACCAAGGTAAAAGAGAAGTTGGTGCATGTACAGTAAATGTGTCAATGCCAGTGGGATTCAGGGTTTGGAGAGTTGGCTGTCAAGGCTTAATGGTCAGTATTAACCACAGATTTTTTAAATGTCCAGTCTAATAAAACACACATACCCTTATAAACAAGTCATTCTTATCTGTAATTAAGTCCTTAAAGCTTTATTTTTGTGAAGTACAGTTTTAGTCTGGCCAACTATTTTCACTGCAAATTTAATTAGTATTTTCCAAAACTAAGTTTAGTTTTTTTCTTTAATCTAGTGCAGAGACCTACCTAAGTCTTTCTTATTTCAACATTCACTTAAAAAAGGGTTGCTGTATAAAACAAAATATTCCTAATACACTGCAAAATTCTTAAGAAAATACTATTTTTTGGACTCAATTACAGTATAACCAGAAATGAAATTTGCAATCTAACTGTTGGCCTTTCTAGTCTTACTACACAAACTGAGAGACTGAATGTCTGCCTGGATGAGATTGTGTCTCACATTTTGAGTTTTGCTGTCAAACAAGTTTCCTAAGTAACTGTCAGCTCCTACACACCTTGGTACAAACTTTACCTGCCAAAAATCACAGTCATCTCAGCACATCAAATATTCCAGCTTTATCACAAAAACTCCTGTTGGTATCTAGACATGATGGATTTGAGAATGTATTGGTGTTTGTACAGTTTTTTCGGCTGGCTGCCCAATAGGACTGAAGGCCTTGTGTCCATCCAAGTGGAATTCTATGAATATCTGGTTGGCTCTAGCAACCCTGATCACCTCCCACACACACACATGACTCCCATGCACCCTGTCATCCTCCGTCCAGTCTTGGACTCCCCACCAGTGTAGTGGTCAGTCAGCAACACACACACATTGACATACACATGGGATCGGAGTTGACTGCCCAAGAGTTGGACAGAGTTTAGAAAGTCACTTTTGGCTTTTTCCCATTCAGGGGTCGCCACAATGAATTGTCACACTGATGACTCGCATGTTGACATTTCGGCATGTGTTTTACACCGGATGCCCTTCCTGACACAACCCTGATTCGAACCCAGGCTACAGCGGCAGGAGCACTGTGCCTTAACCACTAGCCTACCAGGGACGGCTTCTATTCCACAGAGTTTGACAGTCTAAATTTAGATGTCCAAATTACATTTCTACATTTTAACCAAGTTTTCAAACTCCCTTTCCTTTTCTCACCTTCTCTTTCTTCTTACTTGTCCTTTCTTTTCCTTTTTCTTGCCCCATGCCACCTCCTGTGTAGGGATGGGAATCAAGAACCAGTTCCAGTTGAGACCGAGTTCCAAATTATTCCATCTAATGCATTATGGCAACAAACTCTGCACGTCTGCTTTTTTCCAAATAGAAAATTAGTCAGGAATCACTAAGGGGAAACTGAATGATAAGCAAAATCGATAATGGCATTGGTATCAATAAAATCTTATCACTTCCTATCCCAGCCCTGTGTCCAAAAACACACATGCAGATACACACTGTTATGCTGTCAGGACAGCACAGATTAAAGCTGGTGGTGGGTGACCACAGAGCTTGCTACCCTGCTTCCTTGTCCAGCAACCCTTCCCTAAACCTCCATTACACACACACGTGTGTGTAACCATCCCACCCCACAGCTACACATCTTATTACCATATATATGGAGTTGTGCTGACAGACAAGTGATGTGGTATGTGGTGGAAGGGAAGTGGGAAACCATAATGGCCTCCCCAGTCCAGCAGGAGTGGCAAACTGGGGAGTAGACCCACATGTACCCAGACTGGCCCCATGGATCCGAAATGGTCATTTGAGCACTGAACGGTTTTGTTGTTATTGCCCCATGCAGTAGCTCAGTTTGTGAGCATGTAGAGACAAACATTACATACTATAAGTTCTCTGTGGTGTTTATAGATTCTTTTTCTTATCTCCCTGTGTCTGTCAGTCTCTCACCCTCCTCCTCTTTTGATTTCATTTGTTCAGTCTGACCACTGCAGAGCTCTCACTCGTTCTTTTTAACCCTCTTGCTTTTCCTCTCTCACTCTTTCTGTCCCTCTCTAGATGAGTGACATGTATATTTCAGAGATGTGCTCCCCCTCTGAGCTCTATCCCAGATCTCTAGTTATTTAGAGACCCCCTGTCTTCTTCTGCTCACAGCTGTTTGGACTCAGGCACATACTGCTTAAGTGCTTTACCCTCGGGTGAAACAGAGGGATGCACACACAGAGACACAGTTGTAGAACAAGACACCAAGTAGAAACCACGCAGACCCATCACACACACTCGCACAAATCACTGCAGTATACATGCAGATTCCTTGTACACAAGGGTGGATCTTCACATTTAAGCAGGTTTGCATACAGCCCATTATAATAGTGTAATTCAAATGCAACGTTCTACTTGTACTTCACTACAAATACTGTAGCTTTGACTCAGCAACTTTTATCAGAGGGCTATAGGCTATTTTGCATTGGGAGTACACGTTTAAACAAAATATATCATTCTCAAAAGTAGGCTATATTAAGAAGTACAAATGAAGTCAGGTCTCCAAATACAAATTAGTCAAAAATGTGAAGTGCATTTACACTTTTAAGGAGTTAGTGTGTGGATCAGTGCCACATACTGGAAGAAGCAGTGCCATATCTGCCTTTTCTGTGTTGTCTGCTCCCTGATAGAATTAGATATTACAATATAATTAATATCCAAAAAGTAACTTATAGCTGAAAGGAAGGGAAGAGAGGAGGAAACACAGAGAGGAGCACAGAGGAAGAGAGAGAGGCACATGTAAAGGTCTCAACATGGACATTGTAGCACACATGGAGACCTGACCAGGATAAATGGTAGAGGCACACACACTTGTCCTGTTAATTGAACCATCAGCTCCTGTGATAAGATGCAGAGCCATGATGTCACTTTCACGTCAGCATCCACAGAGGTGATACAAACCCCCCCAACACACACACACACACACACACACATTATCTCTCCCCTCCTGCTTCCTCTTTGTCCCTCTGGCTCTCACTATCACTCTGCATGTTTTTCAGTCTCAAAGCTGGAGACTGTATCATCAGCCAACACAGACACAAAAGCAATTGTATTAATTCAAGATTCCAAGCCTTTCAGAGGCTTTGGAGGCCTCACATACACACACACACAAACACGCGCGCACACACACAAACACACAAACAACAAACAAGTCAGTCCAAGCCTAATTCCTCCATACTGGCATAATGCAGGTTGGCCACTTTCCCACCACAGGATTTGGCTTGGCACAGAGAGGAAACTTCCCCATCCACTGTACAAGATGCGGAGGCATTATCTATATGTAATAAATATTCAAACTCATTTTCCGCCAAAGCCCACCATAATATGGGTCAGGGTTGAGAAGATCCTGCTCATTTTTTTTCTTCTCCTTTCTCTGCTCTTCTTACCCAGTCCATTGTTTCACTGAAGGCATCTTTGGGGGTTCTTCGTTTATTTAGAAAGACCCCCCTAATGAAAGACAATCCGGTTAGGCCTCATTGCACATGCACAAACACACACAAACTTGCAATCACACACACACACACACACACACACACATAGGCACACACACGTAGTGCCTTAATTGGAAGGGCTTAATTAAGTTGTGAGGGGCTCATAAGGTTTAGTACAACTGAAAGAGCGGAAATCAGGGAAAGTCGACTTTAATAACAGGAGATACCAAATGCACATGCATATAGTACTTCCTCTCTTTTTGGATCCTACTGCTAGATTCTACTCTGCCTAAGTAGCATTTAGACTAATGACAAGGAAATAAAGCAAAATAATCTCTGTTCTTTTCTCCATGCAAGGTTTAAATTCAGCTATTATTGGACCACACCTGTAATACTAATGGCTCCTTTTGTAAAAATATACACTGTTAATATATTACTGTATAAATCAAAATAATAATAAAAAAAAAACTAACTCTATTTCTACACCGTGTAGACACTAGTGGTGTGCATCTTTACTGGTGTGCTCATTAAGCCATCCCTTATCCCACATTGTGTCTGCCTTTTAATTGCGGAGTTTTACTTACACAGAGTGGTCTGTGCATATCTGACCCTTCTGTGATCTAATTCCTTCCTTCCTCCTCCTCACATGCCCCCCCCCCCCCCCCATCAAAAGATCCCCTTGATTGGATTAGGTCATCAGCAGGGGGGATGTTGCCATGACAATTAATGTGATAACAGACCCCAGTGTTGTGTGGTGGTCTGCGTACCGATTCATTTAGGGCTGCTGTATTAACGTTGCTATGTGCAGACATCCAAGAATGAAGAATCAAATGAAAAATATATTATTATAAATTATTTGAAATAAAAAGATTTTTTTTAAAACTAGCAAACAGAAACAAAAAAATATATCTGCTTCACAAGATGTATTGATTGGTTGCTGTGGGGCTGTGAGTTAGTGCGTGTAGTTGTCGTTGAGGCAGAAGGTGCTGCTTTGCTGTTCCTGCCACACACTCCCATGAAGGTCCCTTGTCTTTATTGGAGCAAATGAACACTGAAATAGCAGACAGTCCTCTGCTCCATTTGCTTTTTTGTACATTAAGGCACCAGCATGTTTTTAGTCTCCCGCAGCAGTTAAGACAGTATGAAGGAGGTGTTATTCTTAGAGAAGGAGTTTGTTAGTTTTCAGAATGATTTCAAGGTGTTCTTCGGCTCAGGTGTTTCACTGTTGCTCTTGCCACTGGCCTTGTTTTAAGCATGTTGAGGAGCAGCATTATAGAGTAGAGCATGTATATTGGAGCCTGCATGTGGCATGTGCATGTTGAAACATCTTGTCTATGTCCTGATTGAAGGGTGACTTTGCTGTGAGTTATTTTGTTTGTGCTGTTAAATATTTTTGCTTATGATGAGCTGTTTGGAGATGGGCAGTGGCATGCACCTTGTCATCTGTCCCACCAGGCTTGCCTGTGCATGGATTCCCATTGAATTAGAACATTTTAAAGCCTCCATTGTGAGTGGTTTCAGTGAGGGAGGGCGAAGGGTCCACCCCCTGCCTCCTGCTTCCAAATTCTTATGGTGGTCACAGCAGGCGAAACTGTGCTGTTTTGGTTTTTGCAGGACAGTGAGAGTGCACAGCCACTGAACCTGTCGGCCAAGCCTAAGGCATCCGAGAGCAAGTCACCCAACTCCCCCCCAACTTCCCCACAGGTCCCTGTTGCTGCTGCTGCTGCCAAGCTGGGCCCCACCGGCTCTATGAAGCACAGCGCCACCCCCTCCAGCATTGGAGGACCACCATCCAGAGTCAGCTCAATAGGTAAGTGGACTTAAGTATCCCTCACACGCACAGATACACACGTCAAAGGAAATTTAACAGATAATCCACAGATTGGGTCTTTTTCATAGTTTTGACAGTTGGCCATCAGCTGTTATAATCCTGCACTCACGAAAATGATCGCTAAGCTTTGGGAATATGGTTAGCTCAGATCCAGACTCCTGGAACACCACATACATCTCCAGTTTATTTAGCATTTATTTCAAATAAGTGTGGGATTGTGCTAATGGACTGCAGTGTCCACCTGGATGGAAAGATAGTCTGAGCTTCTTTGATGAAAGTAAGAAGGACCATATCATGATCCTAAAATGCCAGCTGGTTACTTAGCTACATCTATGAACCAGAATAACAGATTCACGGTCGTATGCCTCTGCCAACCAGTCAAATTCACAGGAATGGTACAAATGTGAGTTCACTGTGACCTTGACCTTTGACCACCAAAATCTAATCAGTTCATTCTTGAGCCCAAGTGAACATTTGTGCCAAATTTGAACAAATTCCCTTAAGATGTTTCAGAGATATCATGTTCACAAGAATTGAACGTATCATATTTGCATTAATTTCTCCCACTGTGTTGTTGTGGAGTACTTAGCCTGAGTGGGGGGGGGCTGTGCAGCAGCAATGCCCCCGGCAAAGAGCACAGGCAGAGTTAGCTAAAAAAAGCACTATGTGTGTCTCATTTTTACACAAACTAAGCATTATGATTCTTAATAATGTATGTCTTAATATTTCGTAGCACTAAGGGTTTAATTTGCCTCTTACATGTCTGTGCCCCATTCCAGTCACATCATTCAAAATTTTCTAGATCCACCCCTGGTATCACTCACTATTGTTTTGCTGGGGCAAAACAAAATGATGCCGCCTAAAACAAGAAATCTGATAATAATGTCAAGTTAAAGAAATGATGCGAATTATTATCAATGCTATTGGGGCTACAGCAAAGTTGGAACAATGAAAGCAAAAAAGCAGTCTGATTATTAGACAGGTATGCAAGCCAGACGTTTTTACAGATTCATTGTACACCCTGTGTCTGCGTAACCACAGCAACGTGTCAATATACAGACAGTTTTGGTGATAGTTTGAACATTAGCCCTGTTTTCGCTTCCAGTTTAGTTTATCTAACATAGTTTTATCTCAGTCCTGGCAGATTTATCTGACTGTGGCCCAGACATTTCTGCATTTCCAGATCTCAGCAACTAATTTGGTGAATATATTATTACTACTACCAATAGAAAGGATGGTCAAAACCGAAAATAATACTCAAGCTGTAGAGTAATAAACCTAAATCATCCTTTAAATGTGTACACGCTCATACTGTACACAACAAAGTGTCCAATAAAAGCATCTATACTATATAATTTTGAGAAATTGTTCTCCTTATGACAATATATATCTTTAAAGGTAACACTAATAGGTCTGCAGGAAGTGGTGATGACAGAAATAGCACTTTTCTGGTAGTGTTCTTAGTGTTGCTAGTGCCAGAACCATAATCATACTGGACCATATGTACACATACACAGAATATGACATAAATGAATCACTATTTTGTAATCTTAATCCATTTTTCATGCAGCACTGATAGTTCAAATATTACACATATGTAACAGGCTATAATTAGTGTGTTTGTGTTTTTCTTCCATGTCGCTATTTACCTTGAGGCTGCTTCATTGTTATGTGTTTATTAGTGACTGAAAGAGACAGAGAGACATAGGAATGGCGGGCGGGGGGGGATTAACAGTTTTTTTTCTGAGTGGTGAAGCGGGGAATAATAAAGAGAGGAACACATGACAGACAGGAGGTATCACCAATGAGATTAGGAAAGCCTCTTACATGAGCCAGGACAGCTCAAATACCAGAATTAATGACACAATGACAGCACACACACACATTCAACACACACAAACACAATCCCACCTCCTCCTCCCATGTAGTGATTTTCTCTGACTTTTTGGCTAATCTCACTGTTTTTCAACAAATTGGTGGATTTAATATCAGATTAGTGGATTTGCGGTCCCAGATGTTTTTTGTTCAGAAAAATGGATTACAGTGTTTAAAGTTTGTATGCGATCTCTGCTGAATTATTTGTGTGTGGAGACCAGTGTGTTTTGTGTCACAGATCCCAGTTATGCTGCAGCTCATGGTCCCATCTGTTGCCACTGAATTTACCCGGTCACCAGCACATTTGTTATTACAGTTCATAGTCGCATTAGGATTCCTGTTACAAGTTCAGAGGAGATAGAAGGGCCACACAAATTGGAAAAGCATTTTGGGGTGGTTGTTTTGATGTGGGAGCATGCGTATTTATGTGTGTGTTTGTGGGGATATGTGGGTGGGTGGTGTAGACTCTGAAAGTGTGTTCAGGTTATTTAAATTCACACAGGAACAGACACATGTAGTGGAAATTAAAAGGTGGTAAAACTTTAGTGAGAATCCAGCAATGTACATAGAACTTAATTCTATTTTTAGAGAAGAATTCATACCTTGTTCACTTCCAGTCACAGGGATATTAAGGTATTTCGAGTTGGGTTAGGATTTACAAATGAGGACAGTAAAAAAAAAAACAAAACAAACATAAAATAACAAGTGCCAAATGGGTTGTGTTCTTTTTTTTTTTTTTAAAGGAAAGACAAACCATAAGCAATATAGAAGTAGTTCTTTGAAATTGCAGCTGTTAAAGATTAGGAGACTATTAACAATGTGTGATGGTATTATTAGCTGGACAAGCTGTCCCTGGTAGGCTAGTGGTTAAGGCGCAGTGCTCTCGCCGCTGTGGCTCGGGTTCGAATCAGGGTTGTGTCAGGAAGGGCATCCGGCATAAAACACGTGCCAAATATCAACATGCGAGTCGTCGCTGTGGCAACCCCTAAAATGGGAAAAGCCGAAAGTGGCTGCTGCATGGTATTATTAGATGGATGTTTTATGTGCACTGAACAGGATATCACAAAGAATAGTCACAATAATCACAAAGTTTCCCAGAGAAGTCATAAAAAGTAAGTAAATACATTACATTTACTCAGCTGTTGTACATAAGTACAATTTCAAAGTACTTGTACTTTAATTAAGTATTTCCATTTTATGCTACTTTATACTCCTACTCCACTACATTGCAGAGACAATGTACTGTATTTTTTCCTGCATGGAAAGTATTCAAAATTAGCTTTACCTCAGCCTTAAAATGCTACAACATCAAACTGCTGCTTACATACAGTGTTAGTGCATCTATAATAACAACTCAGTATATATTATGTGTTATATAATAATATAAGGAAGATGCAAAAGTACTTTTACTTTTGATATTTAGTTCATTTTGCTTATATCTCTACTTTTATGGAACTTTGAAATGCAGGAGTGTTACTATTAATGGAGTATTTTTTTATTGTTGTATTAGTACTGTAATTTACATGATTGTAAAGGATCTCAGAACTTCTGTTACTGATTATTTGAAAACTGTCTATTTTTGCATAATGTTAAATAGGTATATTTATCGACAACTAGTTGTTTGGACTTTAAAGGACCATATCCTCGTTTAGCATGCTGTTAGAGTTTTGCATCACTTCTATTGGAGCACAGTACCAGTGTTACATAGATTTTATAGGCCTTAGTTTAATATTAAGCTAGTAAATCAAATAAACTGCATGCAGTCTGAATGGTTTTATGCTGTTGTGGTGTTTGTCCTCACTAAGGCTTTTAGAACATTTGGGTCATATCTGCAGGTAGACAGATTTTTATTTTGTTTATTGAAGACTGTTAGAGGACAGCTTCAGTTCATATGATTCTGTGAACTTTTCATAGTGCACCTCTCTTTCTTTTTTTAACACCTACCAACTGAGAGGCAAGGTCGTCCTTCTCATCACTTCATCTGTCTGTCCATACATCTTCAAATCAAATGTATTATGCCTGTCTGTAGAGATCTGGCACTCAGACTTAACTTGTATGTATAAAATGAGAAAAAGCGCAACCCCCCTCATGTGGGTCACATTCACTTGTCTAAATGCTTGGCATCACTGTCAGTTTAAGCGAGATTCACTCACACGCATTAACATTCACAATGTTTGTCAGTCCCCCTCCCATTTTTATATTTAAGATTAAAACTGACTGCCATTTGATTCCATTGCCCTCACTCTTCTCCCTCTTCTGTCCTCTCCCACTGCTTCTCTATCCCCTTTTTGGTCCTCACTCACATCCAGATTTTCTGGTTATGACTTCTGAAAGAATTCATGGCTCTGTCATTACCAATCTGAAGCTGGTAATCTGGCCTCATATAGTATTAGCAGCACGGATTAGTGCAGATAAAGACCCCCATAAACCAGCTGCAGCTCTTTGTCAAACGCTAAAACAACTCATAGAGAGGTGATAATGGCGTACACAACCACAGGCATACACTCACACGGATATGTGGTGCAGGTGCCTTAGATACGTTATCGGTGACTAAGATGTAGAAGTAATAAAAAAATAATAGGTAAGAAGGAAGAGTGGGGAGATGTGATATTTGCAAATGTTCTCAACCAGGGAAATTAGCAGGACTTTTTAGCTGTAATAAGAGTCATCTGGCCACCTCTCTTCAAAGTAGAACCTCGAGGATGAAAAGAGGCAAAGGGGTGTGTGTGTGTGTGTGTGTGTGTGTGTGCAAACAGGGAAAAAGAAAATGAATGATTGATGTTTTAACAGTATTAAAAGGAGAGTACAGGAGTTGGTAGACCAGAGAGAATGACTGTGTTATTTAGCTGTTAGAAGGTATATTATATAGTGTGTGTTTACGACTGAGCGCAGGTAGGGAGACAGTGGGCAGCAAGTACCAAGGCTAGCTAGGGGCACGCTGTGACTCACGTGCCCGGTTTGACAAACAAGTGGTCAATGTGTGTGTTTTTGTGTGTGTGTGTGTGTGTGTGTGTGAGAGAGAGAGCGAGAGAGAGAGAGAGAGAGACAAATGCCCTGGCAGACTCCCCTCATAAAGTATATGTTAATGTCTTTACCTCATGGTTCAGGGGAAGATTTTTTCTGGATGAAAACCCCCTGCCAGCTTTGCGAACATAAACACACACACACACACACACACACACACACATTCATTTACTCATCTGTAAAAGCAAAGTGCTATTTTAGTTTCTTCCTTTCACATTCTATTATTGTCTTTTATCATTTTGAAGCAACTTATAGTAACAGTAGATAAAGACAGTCAAAATCTATCAGATTACAGTTTTTACCCAGTTTCAACAAATGTAAAAAGCCAATTAATTGCTCTCTCTCTCTCTCTCTCTGTATGCATCACTGTCCGTCTGTTTCTCTGTCCGTGTCTCAGCAGACTTGTTGTCGTCGCTGTCTTCGACAGCCTACCTGAATGACCACGAGGCAGTGACCAAGGCCTTCGCCGAGGCCCAGCAGATGAAGGAGCAGCTGAAAAGAGAGCAGCAGGTCCTTGATGCCAAGGTGGCTGCTGTCAGCAACCTTGGTCTCAACAATGGACGCTCGGATAAGGTAGGCCACTTTAAATTACACATATGTAACCTTAGCAACCAGTGACGAGGTGTGACAGCTGCCCATACAGTAATTACAAAATTAACATTTTCTGGTTATTTCTCAGTTTCTTAAGCTTAACAACAAGTTGCAATTACCTCATTAAAACCTAACTTTAATACCTGAAATAGAACATAATGTAGCATAGTATCTTGCTCACCAAAACATTATACTGTAGACACAATGTGAATTATAGTCTTTCATTATAACTTTAATTTATGAAAGCAGAAGTTCAAAAGGTCAATTGACAGATTAAATGACATGATATGATAAGAAATGATCTTATTATTTAAAAATGATGTTGTATATTATATGTAAATGCCTATATCAACACCTTAAAGACCACTTGTTTGTTTGAAGTCTTCATTTACTTTTGTTCCAGCTTTTGGAATGGAAATGCATGTTGAAATAAAGTGCAGACTCTTTTTATAATTACATTTTTGAGAGCTTTCAATGATATCATGATTATTATGACAAATGATTCCAACTCATCACTATAATCATAGTCTCTTACAAATAATACAAATTGGGGTATTTTATCTCAAAAAGGTACATTTTTTCCAAAGGTCCAAAGTCATAAATTCTCTGAATATGCAGAAAAAATGTCTCAAGCGAACAAAAGCTGTACTCATTGTCAGTGTGTAATCATTTGTCTTGCCATATGCCATCACTACTGCTCTATGTAGGAGGTAAATCGGTGTGCAATGTGCTCACTGAAATGTGTTGAAGCTAAATAGGACCAGATAAGGTAAAACCAGCTGTAATGAGTGTGTCTGTAAGGCACACTGCAGGGCTACATGCGTGTATGCGTGTGTTTGTGTGCAGCAGGGCAGAGCTTCGAGGAGATGGTAATGTGAAGTGATGGCGCCAGCTCCTTCGGCAGCGTGGCTGAATTGTGGTTATTTGTTAAACACACTGGAAGTCAGCTGGTGCGCACACACATACAAATAAATACACACATACAGAACAACAGTATGCTTGATTCATTTTCACTACTGACATTCAACAGCTCTATCTGTCTCTGTTGCTTTCTTCTCTTTGTAGTCTTTCATCTTGTTTCAAACTGAATAACCTACACTGTTTTGATTGTAATATGCTATAGATAAAGTATAAAGGTTTGAGTCTAACAGCCAGATATATTTGCTCTAGAGGAAGTTATGGATTTTGATCAATTATGCTTAGAAGTGTGGGAATATTAGAGAATTTTATTATTTTTATGGAATCCAAAAAGGCTTTTTTATAGCTTGTCCCACATATTGATTGCAATTGATGGAGATGTTTAGCTGTTTTACTCCACTGCAGGAAATCCTAAAATATTAGACATTATTTTATGAACAATTGTTGTCATTTCTTATTAATGTGGCATATGTTGCCATATAGGAATTCTATGGAATTAGGTAAAAAATAAGTTGTTCCTGGCATTATCCTCTCATTATTGTCTTACCATTTATTTCTACACAAATATTAAGAATTGATAGTTTGTTTGTTTTTTTTTAGAAAAGTTACATGTTAAATTAAGATATAGATGTTTTGTATTTTTGAAGGTAGTCCTGTATTTATAGGTTGCTGTTTTGGAACACCCATGACTGTTTCTCAGCTTCTGAAGCCACGCGCTCACACTGTCACCCGTATCCTCAGCCCTTTGGTTTTGTGCTGCACGAGTGTGAAACCGGCGAGCTCTTGGTGTTCAAATACAACACTGTTATTTCTGACACACTCAGAGGATTAGTTTTGTCACTACTTGGCTCCGGTGTCAGCCATTCAATCCACTTTTCTCATGTACTAGACTGGAGCTTAATGTCAGACTAGGCTGTCATCCACTCTCCCTGTTAATCTCTGCCTCTCTCGCTCTCTTTCTCTCTCACACACACACACTGCATAAACCCCTTTTAACAGCATGTTTAATCTTAAAATTTAAAAGTGTGAGACATGTTGTGTGCTCTGTTTTTGTTTTTTTTTTAAATAGAAGGTTTGAATGAGGTTGGTCATTTGTGGTTTGCAATATTTGCATAAAAAATGACTAAATTATTCCAACCCACAGACAAATTATTGCTCATTTATTGAAAAATAATAAATTCAAAATAAAATACTTTTTAAGTGGCTTGCAGAAAACACACACACACACACTTAAAAAAAACATTTTCCACAGCACGTCTGGCTTTTATTCTTCCCTCCCTGCCTTTTTAGCCATATTTATTCAAATCGGGGGGATCTCTAACGATTAAACTCTGTTGGACTAAAAAGAGAGAAAATGCATTTCATTATCATTCTGCCCTCCCCACATCCAGCCATCCAGCTCACCAGGGTCACATGTAAATGGAGAGGGACACTTTTTGGAAGGTTGTTTTAGAAGACGACAGTGTTTTGGGTACAGCTCCTAATCGTATAATTAAACTGTAAAATGCTGGAGCTGTTGCACTGTGGTGCGTGTGCAAGTGTGTGTGTTCGTCAACAGTCAGGTTATAGCGCTGAGTGTGCCGGCTGCTTGCATTAAGCATGTAAATGCTCAGTAAATCAGCCTTTTATTGGTTGTAATAAATACCCAGGGGGCCGTGCAGCGTGGCCTCGCTCTCGTCTATGCTGCACTCTCCCGGTCTCTCTCTCTCTAATGCATTGACCCTCGGGGGCCTCTGCAAGAGAGAGGCAAGCTGCAGCACTCCACTCTCGCAGGTGGCTGCCAGGAGTCGCTACACAAACACACACACTCATGCACACATATAATATACAGTACACACACAAAACAGTAAACATCCAGATAAGACTGAATGTAATTAACATTGTTGCACATGCAAACATACACAGAGATGCATGTTCAAGCATGCAGGCATTCAGCACTGTAACAATTTGATGTTGATATTAACATTTTCACAAATTGACATTGAAATCACCCAAACCAAAATTGCTGCTGTTATTTGTCAGCTTTCTCTGTGTTTGGTTCCATTGATGGAAAAATGATTATAAACTGATTTATTGCAGATCAGAGGGTAATAACACTGGCCTATATTTACTGGCTGGTTGTGTTAAGGAAATTGTACATCTTTAAAACTGTCTCTTGGACAGACTGGCTTTAGGCCATTTATTTAGGCCAATAAACATGTGATTTGATTTAATTTGATATTTGTGTCATTAAACAGTTGCTGTTTTTAGCTAGAACTATGAAACAAATTATATCAGACATAAAAATGTCAACGGAGTGTTCACAGAGTCAATAAAGCTATTTCAGATCATCCACAAGAATGATATGTTTGGCTGTAGAAGTCAGACAGTTATTCAGCATCATTACAGATTCATGGTTTCATTTATTCACATATTCACAGTCACTGACTCAGTCACTGACCAACTGCAACTGTACACTTTTTGTGTTGTTCAGGACAAGGCTGCCTTGGAGAGTCTGAGTCAACAGCTGAAGCAGCAGTCGGAGGACAAGTTCGGCCATGCCATGCTGGATTTCACCATGAGCGGAGACTCTGACGGTAAGGACATACAAGAACACACACACACACTGCATTCAGTCATAAAAGTGAGAAACAGTGTGTGATTTTTTTAAATTGCTGTATAGGATTGGAAAATGTTTAGGAGGTTCATTTTGATACATTTCACTATTGTTTCTATCAACAGAGCCCAACACTATAATGCAAGGTTATACACATTAACAGTACACAGTAAGTGTTAGGATGATATATAATAATGTTCACTGAAAACCCTGTTTCTCTAAAGCTTTTCATTAGCTAAGAAAACAGGCAGGGTTTCAGGTTTTTTACAACATCCTCTTATAATTTAGTTGGTTTTTAAGATTTAAAAAAAAATGACAGAAATTTCCAATCCCATTAAGAAATGCTTAATTTTTCAGTGTATCTAAAAATTAAAAATTCTCCAAATTTGAGGATACTTGACTTTCACTGGGCGTACTGTAAAGGGAATTCCTTGTCAACATCCTACATATTTTCCTCCTACCTTCCCCAGGCTCCCCCAGTGTGTCAGACTCCAGAATATTTCGGGAGTCCCGGGGTCGTGGCAGCAATGAGCCTCACATCAAACGCCCAATGAATGCCTTCATGGTTTGGGCAAAGGATGAGAGGAGAAAGATTCTCCAGGCCTTCCCCGACATGCACAACTCCAACATCAGCAAGATCCTCGGTAAAATACACCCTCTCAACCATACAGAGATACACATTTAGTCTGAGTCTTTTCCCCACCTTTGTGACCTCACTCACTACTATTTGCAAAACCCAAGCAAAAGGGAGAGGCATGTGCTGTGCATTACATTTGCCACCTTCTCAAACACAATACACACTCTCTGTGATTTTCCTTACAAGTGGCAGCATTGTGTAAGCAGCTGTCAGTGAACGGCTGGGGAGAGCATGGCTCTGACAAATGATGATATAATTCATTATGCATTAAACAAGCAGAGTGAGGCCGCATGACATTCCCCCCAGACCGCCGGAATCGGCCCTGACATTTTAAAGAGTTCCTAAGCATTTTATAACACAGGAAAATCTGTTTTTAATAAGCCTTCCCTCTCTCTCGCTCTCTCTCTCTTTTTCTCTCGATTGCTAACAGATCGCAGACCAGAGAGAGAAAAGAGAGAGAACAGCCAAGCGTTGACAGCTTTTTACCCATTTAACATACAGTAGCCAAGTGCAAATTCAGACCAGATATGAAACACAGGGGTGAAAACATGCTCAAGATTACACCCACACACATGCAGGGCACTGATCAATGAGCAGAAACTGAGCTGAGAGGGATGACAGCAGGTTAACCGAAGTCCTCATTAGTTTAGATGATAGCTGTCGTTCTGCTGCTCTCCTCATTAGCCACGTTTTCTATTGTCTGCATTCTCTTTCTTGGTGAAACTTCTACCGTTGTCTGTCCGTTTGTGGATGTATAAGTGTGTGTGTGTGTGTTTCTTAAATGCCATCACATGTTTAATGACATTTAAGAGTTGCACATGCCACACAGACAAGGCAAGGAAATCCACCTTTATTTATATAAAACATTCATACACAGAGGCAATTCAAAGTGCTTTACATTGGCAAAAAACAATCCCACCCCCAAAAACATTAATATTAAAAACTGTATGTATTAAAACTAGAATAAAACCAATTAAGACAAAATAAAAATAAAATGTTGTCAAAATATCTACCTTAAAATCTATTATCTAAAAATGATACATATTGTATGAGCTATTACATGTCATTAACACTGTGGTCCTTCTCTGTCCAGGCTCACGCTGGAAAGCAATGACCAACCTGGAGAAGCAGCCCTACTATGAGGAGCAGGCTCGCCTCAGCAAGCAGCATCTGGAAAAATACCCAGACTACAAGTACAAGCCACGGCCCAAACGTACCTGTCTAGTCGATGGCAAGAAGCTGCGTATCGGCGAGTACAAGGCCATCATGAGGTCCCGCAGACAGGAAATGAGGCAATATTTCAGTGTGGGGTAAGGGACCTGTAGAGGGCAACATTATTTAGTCTAGAAGAAACTATTGCACATTTTACCTGTTTTGAAGTTAAAAGAAGACAAGGAATGAAATATTTTTATACTATAAGAAGTAGAATTTAGTATTCCATATTAACATTAGAGCAGTTGTGAATTAAACTAAATTTTATGTTAGAACAGCTACTACAGCTGAAACATTTAATATCTAAGGTAAAGTATTTGTTTTTTTTTCAACCATTTGTGTTTTAACTTTGTATTCTGTTAAGCAGAAAAACACTCCTTATTAAATCTTCTTATGGTGTAGTTCCCCTTTGTAATAAACAATGTTATCTAATAAAGTGGTTCCTAATCTGAAGGTTGGGACCCCTACAAAGGCCCACAAGATAATCATTATGATCATGAAATGAATAAAATATATAAAATCAGGGGAAAGTATCATTTCTGCCACACAACCATGTTACTTTTTTATTTTAATTAATGTATTTATTTATTTATTTTTTACTTTTCTTTGATTGCTGCCTTTTTCATGTAATTTCATGTAATAGAGACCTCTTCAGGACTTCACTGCCTCTCTAAACTGGTTGCAACCTGTATACATGCAATCGGTGTTGAGGGGGTGAAAGTAAATATCCCTTCATTTTAAAAGAAGAGGCTGACATTTTGGAAAGTGCACTTATTTTTTTAAAACTGAGACTTAGATCTGAACGTAGACTGTAGATAGCACTGTCATGTCGGTATGCAAATGTTAAACTACAGCCAGCAATTGGTTAGCTAGCTTAATATCGGCGAGTACAAGGCCATCATGAGGTCCCGCAGACAGGAAATGAGGCAATATTTCAGTGTGGGGTAAGGGACCTGTAGAGGGCAACATTATTTAGTCTAGAAGAAACTATTGCACATTTTACCTGTTTTGAAGTTAAAAGAAGACAAGGAATGAAATATTTTTATACTATAAGAAGTAGAATTTAGTATTCCATATTAACATTAGAGCAGTTGTGAATTAAACTAAATTTTATGTTAGAACAGCTACTACAGCTGAAACATTTAATATCTAAGGTAAAGTATTTGTTTTTTTTTCAACCATTTGTGTTTTAACTTTGTATTCTGTTAAGCAGAAAAACACTCCTTATTAAATCTTCTTATGGTGTAGTTCCCCTTTGTAATAAACAATGTTATCTAATAAAGTGGTTCCTAATCTGAAGGTTGGGACCCCTACAAAGGCCCACAAGATAATCATTATGATCATGAAATGAATAAAATATATAAAATCAGGGGAAAGTATCATTTCTGCCACACAACCATGTTACTTTTTTATTTTAATTAATGTATTTATTTATTTATTTTTTACTTTTCTTTGATTGCTGCCTTTTTCATGTAATTTCATGTAATATGCAAAAGTTAAACTACAGCCAGCAATTGGTTAGCTAGCTTAACTAAGCACAAAGACTTGAAATGGGGAAACAGTTAGCCAGGTTTTATCCACAAGTAACAAAATCTGAATGACTTACAGAAATGATTTGGTTTAGTGTCTTGCCCAAGGACATTTCAACATGTGGACTGCGGGCACTGAGATTTGAACCTTCAGCCTTCTTGTTGGAAGACAACTGCTCTACCCCCGGCACTGTCTCCTCCCCCATAAGAACTTGACAACATTTCCGATTCTTATGCTAAGCTAAGCTAACAGTCTGTTGGATGAACCCCCTTTACCATACTTATCAGTGTTGATCAGACAGCTTTATAATTCTTTAATTCTAATTTCAAGTATTAAATTACTCAGATTTTGTATTAAAATTTCAGTGACAGTTATAATTCCTTATTAAAATTATTAAAGACAAAAAAGCTTAAAACAATGAAATGCTTTAACATAAAAACTACCTGGTAAAAAGAAATATATTTTTGGACAAAAAACAAACAACCATCTATTACCTTGATTTAAGATATTTAATCTTACTTAGATTTCACTTTTTGCAGTCTAAGAATGGTAGGACTATTGATCTTCAAAGGGAAGTGTATTTGCCATAATGTTTAATTATTCTTTTAAGGGATCACCAGACAAAGAGTTAAGAAACCACTGCTCAATTTGGCATTTCAACATTTATTATGGAAATTGATGTGTCAACCACAGGTTGATGGCCCTTGTCATGTACTGTCATACTTCTTCCTCTATGTTACAGGCAGCAGGGCCAGCTGCCCTTGTCCTCAGCAGGCATGGTGTACCCAGGTGCCCTGTCCATGACTGGAATGCCCTCACCCCAGATGCCCTCAGAGCATTCAAGCATGTCGAGCAGCCCCGAGCCCAACTCCAACCACCACCAGAACCCACATATGCCTGGCTTGAAGAGGGATGAGCCACATATCAAGGAGGAGGAGCTACGGCTGGATGACAGCAACGGCGACGTGTATGATGACTTTGACTATGAGGACGAAGAGGCTGATTACACCAGCGATAACGATAACCATATCACACAATAGGATGGCATGAGAGCTGCCTACTTTTAAACAAATCACAGCTGGTTAACCCCACAAAATCCCAATCCCACCAATCAGGAAAAAAAAAATTCTTTTGAGTCCCTTCTTTTGAACCTTGAGTCCCTATTTCACGAAACCTGCCATCCTTCCTCCTCTGGACTAACATGGACTCTTTTAACAGAGTCAAACCCCCTCCCAGTGGAGTCCTGATACCAGCATCTGATCAACTAACTGAAGCACAGGACCTCTCACTCACACTGACTGTTACACAAACTGGAGTCTGAGCGTATGAGATGTCCGAGCCAGCTCTGACACTTGCTGATGAATATCCAAGTACTACTGCAAGAATTTGAGTGTAATGGCACAAGCAAGGAGAAATAACAATCACACTCAAAAGCAACCTTTTTGATCCATGTCTAGAAAAGAAGACATTTTAAAATGAAAGAACAGTGGACCTGTCAAAGGCTAACAGACGACACTTTAAGATAGTGGACCTGTTTATTATCAAGAGACACTTTTAAAAAAAACAGCTTTTTGTTCTTTGATTCTATAATATTCTCACTCAGGTACACGGTGCCAATAAGTGGCTTGTGAATGTGATTAGTTGTTTTTGTGCTACAAGTTTGAATAATAATGGAAAAAAATTACATTTCTTTTTTTTCCCCCTTTTATTGCAAAGCACCTGAAAGACATCAGACATTTATTTTTAACAAAAAGATATCTTTTCTTCAACTTTGCAGTGTGCTGTCTCCGGTTCCCCACTTTTTTCTGATGTGTTTTTGTGATTGCCTACACCCCCTGTTAGGAATCCCGTGGGACCGTCCAGCCATAACTGACAAGTACAGCGTGGACTGTCCCACTTTAGGGGGGTTTGGGGGAGGGGGGGCAGGTCAAAGGGAGTCTGTCTTGCATCATGGAGCACAGACGAAAGCAAGCCAGTTTTTGTCAGAAAACCCCCCACCCCCCCCCCCAATCTATCTGTCTCCAGGGACAAACAGCAGCACAACTTAGTTTGAACCATCTGATGGAGTGTGTGTCTATGTGTGTTCTCATTTACTGGGCTTTTGCACATGTGCTCTTCTTTTTAAATGCAAAAAATAAGGTAAAAATGTCCAGGATACAGAAATGACAGGCAATTCACACTGCTGCTGTTATTTACTGTACCACACATACCATACACACACGTACACACACACAACTGTTGTTCTGTCCCTCAGTGTTTTCCTGCTCCCTCAAATCAACGTCGTCCTGCTGTGCCCCCCCCAGTGGGCGGAGCTGAGGTGAAGTCAGCCAGTCAGTGTTTCTGTTTGTATTTGAATACTGTATTTTATTATTTCTCTTCAAACTGCCTCTAGTCTAATAATATTGTTAACAATAATTATAAGGATGGTCAGCATTTCCTAAGCTTAGTAAGTTATGTACAGTATAATTTATTTTTCTCCTCTTTATTGGGTTTTTATGACCATATGAATTATGACAATGTCAATGAAACATTATTATGTTTAGCTGTAGGTATTTAGATCTAAACAAAAGTTGTCATTTTACCTTTCTTTGTTTTTCTTTTTTTTTCTTTTTTGTTCCCTTCTTTTTTGATGCATTCATTTTGTATAAATTCTCCAGACGGGTGAGCGGATGGAGTTAGCACAGTGAGCTGGACTGATAGACTCGACACCAGCCCTCCTCCGAGCTGAAGACTTAACCTTTTCATGTCCCCTTTCTAAAAGCACTCAGATTCTGTGCAGTCAGAGCAACAAAAGAACATGATTTTGTTTTTATTATCATAATTGTATTTTTAATGATTATTATAATGTGAAGTTTTCTCTCTTTTATTTAACTTTTTTTTTGGGGGGGTGGGGGGGGTTGGAACAAATGAATTTAATCATTTTTGGAAACTGTTTATTGTGAACAAAGAGCCCCATCTACATTTACTACTCTGGCCGTCTCACGAAGACACAGTGGAGCATCATTGGCTTGGATCACAACACTCATACATGCACAAACACAATCACTAACACACATGCATGTTTAAAATTAAGAGATTATCATGACAACCAAACATCATATGCTGTCCTTTTTCTGTTTCTTGAAATCTAGTTTTCTAAATTTAAAATTCTGTGCATATATTTTTTTTTGTTTTTGTGATAGCAGTAATTTTTTTAATCAGAGGAAACCAGTGTTTACTGTGATCCTCTAAGGATGTTGCACTGTATATGAGTGAGATGACCAGACATATGTAGTACAGTATTTTTAAAGTCACTTCTAATCAGGAGTCTTTTGCCTCATTTTAGCTCCACACGATGATGCCATAGGAGCCACGATTACTCTTCAGGGGTGATGAAATGTAATCCCCACAATCATTCTTACTATAGATGTTCGCTACATGCCACACAATGAGCCTTTGGGTCTTAATTTTGCTGTATAGTCACCCCTGCTTTCATACCATGGTTTAACCCAATGCTGGAGATATGGGGCCAAGTGGATCACTCCATTTTTAGGGTATCAGCAGGGTGGGGGGTCATTAAGATGTCAATCATCCCTGCTGGCAAGGTGTGTCCCTATATTAAGACAATGAAAATAATGATGATATTATTTAAGACAATCAAAGTCATAAGTGAAGCTCTAAACAAAGTAAGAATTGCTACAAGTAAAAAAAATCTTACCATCTCAACTTGAAAAATCAAGAAAGATAATTATGTAAATATAACATAGAGTTATAGATTTATATTTTGTTCATAACACAGTGTAATATAAGTTGTATATTTCTTTCTTCTTTCCCCACTGTCTCTTTTATTGATGTTGTCCATGCCATAGAAAAGCAGGAGTCACAGTGCTCTCACAAAAAAAAAAAAAACTGAAGAAAAATATCAAAGAAGTAAAGAAAAACAAGAACAAAAAAAGCTGTGGGCTGCCACCACCATCTGTTCTAAGTTCACTTTTTTCAGTATTACTGCCAGACAAGGCTCTAATAAAGACAGCAATGTGTTCGGTAAAACTTGTGCTGGTCCTGGTCACTCCTTCCACACATGCATTCACACAACGACTTTACAGTTTCAACACATTCATTTAAGCATAAAAATATACACTCTCATCCTTATTTTTTAAAAAGGCACAGCAAAACCTGCAGAAATATCATCGAATGCATCCACACTTGTTTGAGTTATTAATAAACCAAGTAGATAAATAAAATGTGTGTATATGCATAAACTGTTACACTGAAGTTAAATAAATTTTAAAGGAACATACAGTATCATGTATAAATCCACTATTGTTTTTATTTTATTTTATTTTTTTACCTGTGCTTTATTTTTGGCTTGAAAAGTCATTTCTGTCTTTCCCTCAATCACCCAGGGTGAGCCATCAGGACAGTGGCACTGCCCGTGTGTCACTGAACAATTCAGTCATCTCCATTAGAGCATGTTAAGTACGTTAAGTCCTCCTTGTTGCCCTTCCAATCAGAGGGCCAGCTGGGAGGTGTGGAGCCCAATCAAGGCCCGTTAGCAACCTGATAACCTAATTACATTCAACAAGGGACATGGGAGAAGAGGTGGGGGATAGTGATGAAATGTGCATCTGTGTGTGTGCACATGTGTGAGTCACAAAAACAAAATAAGGGAAGAGTGTGTGCCCGATGCCAGCTGCCTGTGCTGCTGTCACCAGTTTTAAAAGCAAATCATTAATTGATGCTCGCTTAAGGATGTTGACGATGTTCATGCCTCCACTTTCAAGAGTTAAAAAACACAAAACCTCACTCAGTGCACCCATTAAAATGTTGTCCCCATCTGTGTCCATATGTTCCTCTATCAACCCTCATCCACCACCCGGTCCGACACTGCACATAAAAACAGTTAAATGCACTCTGCGGAGATGATTTTACGCAGCTTGCTAATAAGCATAACTTCACACACAAAAAGCCCTTTTGATGCAATAAAGAGGCAGGATGGGGGCAGACTCCTACAGTAAGTGAAGGATGTAGTTGTTCTCTGGGCATTGTGAATTTTTCAGTGGCAGCCTGAAGGCAAAAACCTGAGAAAAGTTTTATGTGAATAGTTGAGGAGCAGAAAGGGGGTTCAGTTTTTTTCTCTTATTGTCAGCAGTAGATGATGCTGGAGGAAGCACAGTGACTAGATACACATGTACAAATGTAGCCTCCACACACACACACACACACACATACACATACGCAGATACACATCCTACGGTGTAATGCAGGAGTTAGCTCAGCTGAAACCCCAATTATCCACTGGCTATTTCTATCACAATAGTTGAGACAGGCAAATGAAAACTGTTACAGTTGGCAATAATTAGCATTTTAATATCTGTTCATAGGTTAGGTGCACATTCTCTAACTTTTTCTGATTACTCAAATCAAGTATAACTTAATAAGAAACACTGTTGAATCATGTGCACTTATGTGTTTGTTTCAACATGTGCATGCGTCTAACTCTACCATGGGACTTTGAATGTAGACCTCTGTCTGGACTCTCTTGGTGAAATGCAGTTTCGATCACGGGTGCTTGGAAATTGAGTGAAAGCATCACATTAATGATTTAAAGTTGGTAATAGGATGTGCTGTAATGCTGAACTGCCAGGTAACTGAGTTTAAGGTTCCGGTGTTAATGTATTCATGAAGAGGAGGGATTATACAGAAGCAAGACCAGCTAGAGAGCTGAGTGCAGCGGAGCAGCCCGGGCCAACAGGCCTGCTAAAGATAACTACATTTATCCTGCATGAGTACATATTTCACAAAGCACAAGGTGAGACTACACACACACACACAAAATTTTGTGGAGCTGCAAAAGTACAATTATACTAGAATTACATTTGTTGCAACATATATTTTTAGTTTTTTATTGATGAAAAAGGTTTTGTGAAGGAATTTAAGTATAGGGTAGACTGATAATCAATACTCCGTTTGTGCTGTGCTAAAAACCATTTTAAAACAGCTTAATATAAAATAAATAAATAAAGGCCTGAGGAAATGTTTCTATTTTGAAGTATTGCATTTATTCTAATAGTAAACAATTTAAAAAAACTATAAAAAAAAAATCCTCACAGTTAAGCCACATATTAAAAATTCATGTTATCTGATAT